CAGCGGGAGAGTTGTGAGGTTCAAACTCCAGGAACCTGAGGCTGACAGCTTTGTGGAAGCAGCCACTTAAAGGACTGAGCTAGGGCCAGGCCCCCTTTTTTTAAAATTTTATCTATTTGTGTGTGTGTGTGTGTGTGTGTGTGTGGCCAGTCCCGCCCACCAGGAGGCGGGGCTGGCTGGCATGTGGTGCTGGGGGATTGAACCGCAGTCCCTGTGCTGTGCTAAGCTTGTCCTAAGTAGGTGCTTTAGACCACTGAGCCATCTCACCAGCCCCATGAGCCATCTCACCAGCCTCTGTTTGCAGGTACTTTAATCCGCTGAGCTATTTGGCTGGCCCTGAAGAGGTGACTTGTGATGCTAAATTTTCAGTTCTGAGAGGCGCTCACCTGGCAGCTCCTGGAGCAGAGCGGCCATGAACACTGACCTCACGGCGGCATCCACACGCTGTCTCATGTCCTTGCTGACCAGCACAGTGACCACACCCTGACCATGTGCAAGGCACGGGGACAGGTGAGTCCTGACGGCAGGCTTAGCAGTGAGGGAAGCCAGTTTCAAATCCACATTTCCCGTGGGATTCAAGGAAGCATAAACAGGGGCTGCTCGTGAGCTCCGTGCTTACGCGTCCTACTCGAGCAGCTGGGACACGTGCCCTCTTGTTTCTTGTGGCAAGGGCAGTGGGCTGGCAGCAGAGTGGTGCAGCAACGACCTTCTGAGGACTTGAACCGGGGGCAGGCATGTCCCTTCCTCTGTGACTCCCAAAATCCCCTTGGGTGGGCGGGCCCAGCCTGGGCCACACAGAGAGACAGACTCAAAAACAAACAAACAAAAAAACAACCAGGAGAAAAACAAGAAAAGAAGCATGAAAACCCAAGGGCGAGAGATGGCTCAGTGGAATAAGCGCTTCCCTGGCAAGCGCAAGGGCCTGAGTTTAATCCCCGGTTCCACAAAAAAAAAACCCCAAGGGCTTTGAGATAACAGCAAGATTGCAAGCACTGGCGGGTGGGACTTTACTCTGCGGCAAAACAAGGGTGACATCTAGTGGCAGATTCCATCAAAGGACAGTTTCAGCCCTGTAAGGTACATCTGCCCTCTGCACTGATTCCTGGGCCCTGGGCCTTTTTCTTCGCCTTTTTCCCCTCCTCCCAACTCCCCAGATCCCCATTTTCTCTCCTTTTTCTCTCTCTTTTTTTCCCCTTTCTCTTTCCTTAGCTCCAGGGATGGAATTCAGGGCCTCTGCACTGAGCTACATCCCCAGCCCTTTTTCTTTCTTATTTTGAGACACAGTCCAGCTAAAGCCACTAAGCTGCCCAGACGAGGCTCACACCCAAAATCACCCCCTCAGCCTCCCACAGTGCCAGGGTCACAGTGTGTGCCCACATGCTTGGCTCAGCCGTGGAACTTCCTCTGGGGCCCTGAGGTGACCATGTGTTCCACGTGTCAGTAGCACGGGCTCAGTTCTGAAGTCATGCACACGCCAGCGC